TACTTTAGGGAAGATGGAGCAGCCTGTGCGCGGGGGGGCTTTGGCCGCCGTTCTGTCAGGTCCACGGGGTCCGCTCCTGATCGGGAAGGCGCTTGGTGCTGCGCGTCTGCTGGGCAGGGGCCCCCGAGAATCGCCCGTGTGGCAGCCAGCGTCCTGGGACTGGTACGGAACCTGGAGGGTGTGAGTGCAGAACAGGAGACGGGCCTGGGCCCGAGGGCTCCGGGGGCTCAGTCCGTGGCCGGCTGGACCAGGGGTCGCGGGGGGCTCAGTCCGTGGCCGGCTGCTCCAAGGCAGGACCATGGTGGTGAACAGGCCTCCACCGCATGCAGAAACTCTCCGTGTTCACCCTATTTAGAGCCCCTTCCGTGTATTCAGGCCAAGTCTGAAGACCCCACCTCACCAAGGGTGAATGCCGAGTCCCCCCTCACCGTCATGGATCCCGGCACCGGAGTCCGTTCCCTCGTGTCCCTGTGCGGCGACCCTCGGTGGTGCTGGGGACACCTGGGTAGGGGATCCAGATGAACGTCCTCTTGCCGTGGTCTCTTGGGGCTGACTTTCTTTTAATTTAGGGCGGTGTGCGCACACATCCCCACACCCGCTCCATTCTCCGCCTTTAGACTAAGGTCAGAGCCACCGCGTGAGAGACAGAGATGCTTATTATGAAGATCATGTTCTGCTCTGGGGCGAGAGTCTGGGGGAACTGCCTGGGCTGGAATTGGACTTGACATCCTCCTGCCTCAGCTTCCCAGAGTGCTGGGCTGACGGGCGTGGCGTGTGGGACTTCTGGGGACTCTTCCACTCCCGGGGACGCTGCTCCCAGAACCGGGTCGGCGCTCGGCATGGAGAACGGTTTTTGGGGAGCCCCCACCGCTGTGCGTGTAATTACCTGGGGTCCCAGTAAGCAGAAGACCTGGGAGCTAAGATCCATGGAGATGTAAGCTAATTACTTAATCACTCTCATTTGCAAATCACATTATTGGAAAAGAAATTACTGGGGTGATCGAATTACAGATATTTATCCGCTAAGAGCCCTGATTAACTGGCGATGATAATCCGTCATCCCAAGACTCCCATATTCTCCGCATCAACCTCGCCGGGAAGTGATCGGCTGTCGCTGGAGAGCGCGGGTCTGCGCGCACCCCTGAGGGTCAGCAACACCCCCGCCGCGGCCACCTTCACCCCCTCGGACACTGGGGAGCGGAAAGCCCGCGCCGCCGTGCCCATCGACTGACTCCAAGACGGTAAACAGAGGCCGCTGGCTCCCACCTCCCCTCCCGCCCCTCCCAGACGTCCCCACGGTGTGGGGCTCGGTCACTGCAGTCCCCAGACGCTTGTGCACGCGGCCCTGTTGTCCGACACCCACCGTGTCCTCCTTTCTCCTTTGCCCCAAGGTGCCGGCCGGTGCTCAGAAGCGAAATGTACGCACTGAGCTCAGCCCCGTGCCTCGGGACTCCTCCTTCATGACAAACAAAGCCTTCGGAGCCGTGACCCAGGTTTCTTGGGTTTTTTTTTTTTTTTTT